TCTGAGGCCTTGTGTCTCTTGTTAGAGGCCTTCAGACACGGTCTGAAACCTTTAAGGTTTTTTATTTTTATGAAACTCTAGTTGACTTACAGTACTGTGTCGTTTCAGAGGTACAGCGCAGAGATTCAGTTTACATATATACGTAAATGCGCACACATGTACATTGGTTTTCACTCTTTTCCGTCGTAGGTTATCGTAAGATTTCGGATATTGCATATAGTCTCTTGTGCTATACAGTAAATTCTATTTTAAAAATTTCTCATTTACTTATTTAAGTTGGGGGGGGGAGACGGGAGGTAATTAGGTTTAATTACTTATTTTTAATGGAGATGCTGGGGATGGAACCCATGACCTCGGTGCCTACTAAGCACGGGCTATACTACTGAGCTGTACCCCCCCCCCCAGTAAATTCTTGTTTATCCTTTTTATATATAGTAGTGTGTATCCGTTAATCCCAAACTCCTAATTTATCCCTCTCCACCTCTTTCCCCTTCAGTGACCGTGTGTTTTCAGTGTCTGTGGGTCTTGTTCCTGTTTTGTAAATAAGTTCATTTGTATTATTTTTTAGATTCCACATGTGAGTGATCATATTTGTCTTTGACTTACTTCATTTAGTGTGATGATCTCTGGGTCCGTCCATGTTGCTGCAAATGGCATTATTCCATTCTTTTTTTATGGCCGAGTAGTATTCCATTGTATATGTATACAACTTCTTTATCCAGTCATCTGTTGATGGACGTTTAGGTTGTTTCCATGTCTTGGCTATTGTAAATATTCCTGCTATGAACATTGGGGTGCATGTACCTTTTTGAATTAGAGTTTTCTCCAGATATATGCCTAGGAATGGGGTTGCTGGATCATATGATAAGTCTGTTCTTAGTTTTTTCAGGAAATCTCCCTACTGTTTTCCATAGTGTCATCACCAGTTTACATTCCCACCAACAGTGTAGGAGGGTTCCCTCTCCAGCCTTTACTATTTGTGGACTTTTTGTGATGATGGCTGTTCTATTGTTGCAGTTTTGATTTGCTTTCTCTAATAATTATTGATGTTGAGCATCTTTTCATGTACCTGTTGGCCATCTGTATGTCTTTGGATAAATGTCTTTTTAGGTCTTCTACCCATTTTTTGATTGAGTTGTTCATTTGTTTTGATACTGAGCTGTGTGAGCTTTTTGTATATTTTGAAGAGTAAGCCCTTGTTGGTTGCATCATTTGAAAATATTTTCTCCCACTCCATAGGTTGTCTTTTCATTTTGTTTATGGTTTCCTTTGCTGTGCAAAAGCTTGTAAGTTTGATTAGGTCCCTTTTTTTGTTTTTGCTTTTATTTAAATTGCCTTGGGAGACTGACTTAAGAAAATATGGCAATGATTTATGTTAGAGAATGTTTTGCCTATGTTCTCTTCTAGGAGTTGTATGGTGTCCTGTCTTATGTTTAAGTCTTTAAAACATTTTGAGTTTATTTTTATGGGTGGTGTGAGGGAGTGTTCTAACTTCACTGATTTATATGCAGCTGTCCAGCATTCCCAACACCACTTGCTGAAGAGACTGTCTTTTCTTCATTGTATATTTTTGCCTCCTTTGAAGATTAATTGACCATAGGTGTGTGGGTTTATTTTGGTCTATTGATCCATGTGTCTGTTTTTGTGCCAGTACCATGCTGTTTCGATTACTGTAGCTCTGTAGTGTTGTCTGAAGTCTGGGAGGGTTGTGCCTCCAACTTTGTTCTTTTTCCTCAGGATTGCTCTGGCAATTCTGGATCTTGTGTTTACATATAAATTTTAGGATATTTGTTCTGTGAAAATGTCATGAATAATTTGACAGAGATCGCATTAAATCTGTAGATTGGGTAGTTTGGCCATTTTTACAATATTAATTTTTCCAATCCAAGAGCATGGGATAGCTTTCCATTTCTTTGAATCATCTTCAGTTTCCTTAATCAATGTTTTATAGTTCTCAGTACAGATCTTTCACCTCTTTGGTCCAGCTCGTTCCTAAGTGTTTTATTTTTTGATGTGATTTTAAAAGGGTTTTTTTTTTTATTTACCCTTTCTGAAAATTTCATTAGTGTAAAGAAATGGAACAGAGTTCTGTATATTAATCTTGTATTCTGCTACCTTGCGGAATTTGTCAGTTCTGATAATTTTTTTTTGTGGAATCCAGGATTTTCTATATAGAGTATTATGTCACTTGCATATAATAACAATTTTGTCTCTTCCCTTCCAATTTGGATACTTTTTATTTATCTTTCTTGTCTGATTGCTGTGGGTAGGACTTCCAGACTACGTTGAATAGAAGTGTGAGAGTGGGCATCCTTGTCTTGTTTCAGAATTTAGTGGGAAGGCTTTCAGCTTTTCACTGTTGAGTATTATGTTGGCTTTGGGTTTGTCAAAAATAGCTTTTGTGATGCTGAGATATGTTCCCTCTATATCCACTTTGGTGAGAGTTTTCATTGTGGTTTAGATTTGCATTTCCCTGATGATGAGTGATGTTGAGCACCTTAGCATGTAGCTGTTGGTCATTTGTATGTGTTTTTTGAGAAATGGCTATTCAAGTTCTTTGCCTACTGTTAAATTGGGTAATTTGAGTTTTTTGTTTGATTGGTTGGTTGGTGGGGTTTTTTTGTTTTTGTTTTTGTTTTTTGCTATTGAGTTGTGTGAGTTCCGTAAATATTTTGGCTCTTAACATATTATCAGATGTATTGTTTGCACATATTTTCTCCCATCTCTTAGGTGCCTGAAAAATAACTCTGTTGATTGTTATTTTGCTGTCAGGACATTTTCTTACACCTCTATACACCTAATAGTGTTTGTATTTTAAAGTCTACCTACATGTCCTACTGTTGATGTTCTACACTTACCAGTTTACTCAACCTTAGAGCTTTGTGCTCTGTCTACTGTGTGACGCTGATGTGTTCAATCCTTTTGAGCACTGTGACCTTGCTGGTTCCCCAAGGACAGCTGCTGGGGTTGTTTCCCTTTTTGCTTGTACACAGGCTTGCAGTAATGTCCTGTGTGTGTCCTTGTGCATTAGCAGGAGTTTCTGTAAGGCACATACCTAGAATTAGGTTTCCTGACCCAGAGGTTTGCAGGGTTTCAACTCTGCCAGGTAATGCCAGGTGGATTTCCAGAGTGACTGTACCAGTTTACAGTCCTATAGGGCTCTAGGTTTCCATGTTCCTCATGTCTTCAACTTTGAATTTTGTGAAGCCTTTTATACTTTGCCCAGTCTATGGAGAGAGGTCTTGTTTTAATTTGCATTTCCCTAATTCTTTTTTCTTTATTATTATTTTTTGATTGAAGTATAGTCTATTTACAACGTTGTGTCAATCTATGGTATACAGCACAATGCTTCAGTCATATGTGAATATACATATGTTCATTTTTATATTCTGTTCTACTGTAAGCTATTACAAGATTGAATATAGTTCCCTGTGCTTTACAATATAAACTTGTTTATCTACTTTATATATATTAGTCAGTATCTACAAATCTCAATCCCAGTTTATCCCTTCCCACTCCCTTCCCTGCTGGTAATCACAAATTTGTTTTCTGTGTCTGTCTGTCTGTTTCTGTTTTGTAAATTAGTTCATTTGTCTTTTTTTTTAGATTCCACATATAAGTGGTATCATTTTTCTTTCTCCTGGCTTACTTCACTTAGAATGACATTCTCTGGGGCCATCCATGTTCCTGCAAGTGGCATTATTTTATAATTTTTTATAGCTGAATACTATTCCATTGTATGAATATACCACAGCTTTATCCAGTCATCTGTCGATGGACATTTAGGTTGTTTCCAATGTCTTGGTTATTGTAAATAGTGCTGCTATGAACATTGGGGTGCAGGTGTCTTTCTCAGTTAAGGTTCCTTCTGGATATATGCCCAGGAGTGGGATTGTTGGATCATATGGTAAGTCTGTTTTTAATCTTTTGAGGAGTCTCCATATTTTTCACAGTGGCTGCACCAAACTGCATTGCCACTAACGGTGTAGGAGGGTTCCCTTTTCTCCACACCCTCTCCAGTATTTATTCCCTAATTCTTAACAGCATTGAAAATCTTTTCAGATGTTTGTTGGAGAGTTTGATTTCTTTGTGATTTACCAGGTTACATCCTGTACTCATTTTAAAAAAAATTAAATGGCCTTTTTTCTTTTTTGATTTGTAATTTTAAAATATATTCTCTTTATTTTTTATTATGTATGTTTAAAAATATCTTTTTATCCTTTTCTGTCTCTTTTCTTTCTCCACATTGGACTTGCCAGATGTTTGTGAATTTTGTTAGCATTTTCAGAGAACCAGTGTTGAGATAGTTTTCTGTTTCTTTAAATCCTGTTTTGTTTTCTTTCATCTTCTTCCCTTGAATTGCTTTCTTTTTCCGTGTCCAGTACCTCGTTGAATGCTTAGATTATTATTTCAGTCTCCCTTTGTTGAAATAAGTGCATTATGGATGCATACTTTCCCTTGGGTAGCCTTTGTTTCCATTTCCACCTTAGTCTCAATTTCTGTGTTTTTGTTGGAGGGGGTCCCTTTTTGACGAGGTATTTCTAGTGTAACATCAGTATGGTTGTTACCGAGTCCAGACTTGTTCTGCTTGCCACACGACAGGGCAGTAAATCAGGAGACGAGGTGTTGGGGCAAGGAATAGCAACTTTATTTGGAAAGCCAGCAGCCCGAGAAGATGGCAGACTAATGTCCTGGAGAACTGTCTTACTCAAGTCAGAATTCAGGCTCCTTTTATACTAAAAAGAGGAGGGGCTGTGGTGATTGTTGCAGACTTCTTGGTGGAGGAATTCTTTGTTCTCGGAATCCTTTATTCTTGCAGCTGTCCATGTGAGTCAGATCATGGTATCCCGTATCACCTCCAAGAAAACAACCATTATTTTCTGTTCTGCAACTTGTTATTTTTGTTTGAGTGTAAAACTGTTAATACCCTTAAAGGTCAAAGCCTTGAGAATGGCCCGTCCTGTGTAGTTCAGGCTCTAGGCCACACCCTTTTATAGAAGGTGCAGAGCCAGTTCGGGAAACAGCATGAGGCCAGAGCCAAAGGCACAGATCTAAGGTGGAGTCAGATGTGCTCTTTTCTGTTACAGTTTCTGAGGGAAGTGTGTTAAAGTCTCTCACTCTTAGAGGAGAGTTTGCACAGTCCTCTTTGCCACTGCAGGTAGCTTCGGCGTTGTATACTTTAAGGGTTTGTAGGTAGGATACATGTTTGTAATTACAGCTTTTGGTGGATTTTTTCTTTTTATTAATATGCAGTGTCTGCTTTTGTTCCTATTAATGATTTTTGCTTTCAATTCTGTTCATTGGTATAAACATCTGAGAATCACATGCATGTTAAGCTCACAAACAGCATGCAGAGGGGAAGCGGCCTGTGTGGATGCGTGCAGATGGCGTAGTTCCCAATAAAATCCACCAGAGGCATGGTCTGTGGTGGTGCAGGTTGGGAGGAGGCAGACCCTGCAGCGGCAGGAGGGCTGGTGGGTGCGGGTCTGCGGGCCTGGGCCCCTGAGCAGCGTGTTCAGGGTTTGTCGACTTTGCTGTGTAAATGTCGAACTCAATAAAGAGCTTAAAGATACTGAAAAGATACACAGCTAATATAGATTTATTTTAATTAGTGTTTCTTTGTTCTGTCTTACATGCTACCTTTCTGTGTTGTTTTATTTTAGGTTTTATAGGTGCATTTTGTGTATCTAATCGGAGTCTTGTGCTTCCAGTAGGTAAGTTTAGTCCTTTTATTTCTTACTATTACTCATCCATTGGACTTATTTCTACTAGTTTTTGTAGTTTTTGCTTCCTAATCTTTGCTCTATGTCTTCTGTTGATTTGGGGGGTGGGTAATTAGGTAATTAGGTTTATTTATTTATTTGAATGGAAGTACTAGGGCATGAACCCAGGACCTCATGCGTGCTAGGTATGCACTCTGCTACTGAGCTATACCCTCCCCACTCTATTGATTTTTTTTTTAAATAGACTTTATTCTTTTAGAGCAGTTTCAGGTTCACAACAGAACTGAGCAGAAAATGCAGTTTGCACATAGCCCTCCCCACCCACACATATATACTCTCCTACCCTCAGCATCCCTCATCAGTGTGACATATTTGGTACAGTTGATGAACCAACATGGGCACATTATTATCAACCAAAGTCCATAGTTTACATTAGGGCTCACTCTTGATGTACATTGTGTGGGTGTAGACAAATGCATAATGACACATAGCCACTATTATAGTATCATGCAGAATAATTTCATTGCCCTAAAAATCCCTTGTGCTCCGTCTGTTCATTCCTCCCTCCCTCCCTCTCCCCAAACCCCTGGAAACCACGATCTTTTTATTGTTTCTGTAGCTTTGCCTTTTCCAGAACGTCATTTGGTTGAAATCGTACGGTTTGTAGCCTTTTCAGACTGGCTTCTTTTATTTAGTAATATGTCTTTTAAGTTTCTTCCATGTCTTTCATGGCTTGATAGATTATTATTATTATTTTTTTTACTGCACAGGCATTTTTAAATTTACATATATGTGTTGTTCACTGTTTCTAAGAACGTTTAGAGCTTTAGCTTTTTAAACTTACATAGTTATCAAAGGAGTAAACCCAGCCACAAAATAAGAGTTAACTCAAAAAGATACATACACCCTGCTATTAGCAGCAACATTATTTATGATTGCCAAGACATGGAAGCATCCTAAGCACTCCACCACTGAGCTATACCCTCCCCCTTCTATTGAGTTTTTTTTTTTAACTCCCTTTTCCTCCTCAGCCCTTAACTTGTTGTTTTATTCTTTCAAAGGAAGTGGGTGAGTATCTCCATCTTCCTCCTAAATGAGACAACTTCATATGCCAGGGAGGAGGTGGGGGCAGGTGACCTGTGGAGCCACACGTGTCCGCGCAGGGAGCAGAATCAGCCTGGGAGGCCGAGCACGGAGGCTACCCACACAAGGGGCCAGGCTGGACCTCCATGTGTTCCTCTTTCTTCCCTCAGCACCTGAGTGACTGGCTCCTGCCTCCATCCCTGGGAAGGCCAGGGTAGCAGGTGATGGCAGCTTTGCATCTATCTGCCCTGTCCCAGGTGAGCATCCATCTTTCCTGGGAGATGTGAGGTCTCCACCCAGGGCTTCCCTGACTGCGCGCCTGAGCAAACACTGTCAGGTGTCTCTGGTGCGGGGTGCTGAGCAGAGGAAGGATGACCCTGGGACTCCTCCAGCCTCCCTGAGTGAGCTGGCTCAGTGGTCAACGGGTCAGACCTCCCCCCAAGGCCATGCTGGGGAGCCACCCGGTGCTGCTTCCCCTGGCGTGCTTCTGCTGCCCCTGCCCTAGGGCCTGTCCCGTGCCACACCTGGGCTTGCAGCAGCCCCTGTCGTTCTAGGCCGAGGTGACCTTTGAGGACGTGGCCGTGCTTCTCTCCCGGGAGGAGTGGGGCCGTCTGGGCCCTGCTCAGAAGGGCCTGTACAGGGATGTGATGCTGGAAACCTACAGGAACCTGGTCTCGCTGGGTGAGGCCCCTTGCTGGGATGCAGCTCAGGGAACAGCCCTGGGGACTGAGGGCTCAGCCGGGGCTGGGCTGGGGGCCTTACCTCCTGTGCCCAGAGACGGGCGTCCCTGACCCTGATCCCAGGCAGGCCTGGTCTGTGCAGAGGAGGGCCTTGGATGGGGCTGGGTCAGCCAGCCCTGGATAAGACTGCCTCCTGCCCCACATCCAAAGCAGAGGCACCTCCTGGTAGAGAGAACCCCCTGTGCTCAGTTCTTCAGCTTCATGACCCCCCACCCCTCCATGCGGTGTTCAGACTCCCTATCACCCCACTGTACCTGTGCTTCCCCCTCCCCTGCCAGTCCCAGGGTGAGACCCAGCTATATCCTTGGCACCAACCCCAGGCCTTGTCTCCTTCCCAGGAGCTGGACCTGCAGGTCCCAAGCCTGGGGTGATTGCACAGTTGGAGCGTGGGGATGAGCCGTGGGTCCTGGACTTGCCGGGAGCTGAGGGGAGCAAGCAACCAAGAGTCCGTGGCTCAGGTGCGTGAGGGGCTGCCTCCCTGACTTGCCTGCTGAACAGCGCGTGTGTGGTAAGAACTGACTCGGGGTGGGGAGAAGATGCATCATGGCCAGAGCGGCAGCCCTGGGAGTGGCCTCTGCTGGAAGCCAGGTCACCTCTGCCAGCCTGGGTGCCTCAGTCTCGTGAAGTATAGTTGATTTACAGCATTCTCTTAGTTTCAGGTATATAATGTAGTGATTCAGTATCTTTATAGCTTATACTTCGTTTAAAGTTATTACAAAATAATATTTATATTTTCCTGTGCTTTACAATATATCCTGTTGCTTGCTTATTTTCTGTGTGTCAGTGATTCTTGAGCTGGCTCTTCTAGGAGGATGAGAGGGAGCCATGTTGGCAGAGAAAAGGGGAGGGCACTCGGTGTGCCGAGGGAAGGTGGGGCCCACGGGGCCCCATGGAGCTCTGCCCTCCAGAGCTCACGCCCTCTGAGGGGTGTCAGATGGGGCCACAAGGATGGAGAACATGGCTTCGTTCCGCCTTGTGAATTAACCTCCTTGGCGATTACAGGCCATCATAGGAAAGCGAGGGAGTGCTCAGCCCAGCTTCGCCCCCAGACACGAGTGTGTTCTAGCTCGTGCCCTGCTGCCCCTTTTCTGGGGCCGTTGGCTCAGCACCTGCTCACAGCATTGCCCCCTGACGGGGTGTGGTGATGCGGTCACCCACGCACTCTGCTGTGTCACCCGATCTTCCAGGGAACGATTTCCGTTTCTGTGCATGGGTCTTGGTCACTGCTTCCACTGAACATGCTGTAGGGGAGGGTGTTCTCTAGTTTCACGCGTGGGCATCGCTGATGCGCACCTCTCTGC